TCAATTTGTATACTACTAATACATACAGTTCGTTTTCAAACTGAAAATCCTATTTAACCAGTGAAATTGAAATGTATCCATCTTCTTTTAAATAAAGGAAAAAAGTACGACTGTGTGTGTATGTGAGGTTTTGTGTGGAAGATAATTTATAGTTTTTAGCACTGTATTCGGATGCCTAATTAGTGAAATATGATTTCAGGGCTCGAAGAGGAACACGGTGTGTTGATTCAAAGGCCAAAGGAATAGCAGAAAATTGGAAAATGGATCTATATGTAAGTTAATGAAACTATTGTGATATACGAATATGGTAGCAGAGTTCACATAAAAGTTGCCAAATTTATTAAGGACAAACGGGGAACAGTGTTTCATTTAATTTTTCTAATTTGTCAAGTGAAACATACCTGCCCTTTCTTTTAAAGTTTAATTCTTTTTTTTTTTCTGAATTCAACAGCAACTTTCAACTTCAATTCTTCTCTCCTTCATCGTTCAAGATTCTTCGATATTTAGAGTAACGTTTGCATTGAAAGTGAGATAAAAGTATTAATATTAAAATCAGGAAATAGGAATCGCCTCTCCTAGGGGCAGGAGATGGAATTGATATTTAAATTCTTGAGATATTCCAAGTCTCTGATAAAATTCTTGAGATATCCCTTTGAATGTATAAAACCAATATCTCGGATACAACTGTGTTGAGAAATTGCTCGCTGAAAGAAATGTCAGAAATAGAAGGGAACAGTGTGAAAATGTAGTTTCCTGGGTAATCGCTCGTTTCCCATATGAATCCTTGAGACACAACACTCGGATTGAGATCATTTATTTCAAAGAAGAGATTATTTCTATCTAGAAGAAATAAATCTGGGACAACATTTGTTTCATCTGTTCCATATTCACATGTACATGAAATATACATTTACAATACATTGTCATTTATTATGCAAACAGTGGGTACAATATATTCTATAATATTTCTCTGAAACACTGAAACTGTTAACATCATCAAATACTAATTTTTTTGTTTCGAGAAGAAAATGTGAAACATTTTGATATCCTTTTCAAGTTTTTTTTATTTCTTTTTGGAAAAACTGTGTCACTGTGAAATTGCGAGTGTGTAAAAAAAGGAAACTTTTACTCGGTTTAATCTTGGTTTAACTCTAAAAAGTAGGAAATACATAAGAAAGACGGTTCGATATTTTTTCTATTTCACTCTTCGTGTCATCAGATTTCGTTTATTTAGAAATAAATGTATTTTTTTTCTTTTGTCTTTTATTAATGGAACAGAGTTTAATCATGTGAACTGTGGGAAAACCCTGATATTTCATCAAAATTCCACGCTGTTTGTTTTCTATACCTACACTCCTCGCACACAGTTGCATATTTATTCTAACTTACACGTGTACGTTCTAGCTTTTTCACAGTCGGTTCATTTTGATTGAATTGCATTTTTAAAGCGAAGAAGATGATTAGTCCAAAAATAATGAAAAATTGTCAACGTTCTAAACTGTCATAACTTGATAAAAAAGGATCATCACTTGGTGATTATTTTAGAGCATGAAGTCTCTATTTCCGTGGTGTCGAATTTATTCGTTTCAAAGATATTTTTACATCATGCAGCAAGTAGAAAATCAGGGATTTATCCTTTTATCCTTGAAACTGGTCAGAGTTCAAATTTTTTCCTAAATAGATTCCACCATGATCTTGAAGATTGAAGTTTCTTTTTTACAACGAGGCCTTAAAATTTGCTGGACAGTTTTTTTTTTTTTTTCGAATTTCGACCATTTTAAAAGCATAGGATTAAAATGCCAGGATTTTTCGGATTCTCGTCGTTTATGATTGTATTCAAATTTTATTCATCTTGTTTGGTTTTGTGTTGAAATTCGTATGGAAATTCGGCGGAAGAATTCATGGAATTTTAATTCCCGTTGTTGACAGTGTTTTTTGAATAATATTCTGTTGTAACAGTTGTCATAGACGAGGTAATGGATGGCAAGGAATGGTGCCAAAGAAGAATTTTGCTGTACCATTTTGAACTATGTCCTGTTATCTCGGAGTGTGTCTACTTGAGTTAAGATGCTGAAATCTACGTATAACTTGGAAACACGTTGACGTTCTACATCTCTCTGTCTGGTGTTCAAATATATATAAGCCAAATCACGTGAATTTTAATTGGCAATTTTTTTGTCCATGAAATCGTACAACTAGATAGATTTTTTTTCTATGATATTCCACAGTACAACATTTTATTTGGAATTTTTTTAAAGTAAGTTTTTGTTATTGATTACTTTTCATACTATTGTCCCAAAATATGTTTTCCTAGAATTTAGTCTATAGTCTTTTTGTAATTATGTCTTCTGCAGATCATAAAATTCTGTCTGTATTGAATCATGGAAAATTATTTCTATGTCTGTAGATACTTTCTAATGCATACTTTTTACTTCATCTTCAACAATATTGAACTTGTATAATTTTTCAACAAATCAAGTATTTCACTGGTAATTATGATATCATTTTAGTGAAAAAAAGGATATCGAAGCGAATCGTTATTAAATCAGTCCTGCCTGATGTTTCACAGTTGGGAGGAGACACGAACTACCGGCATTCATTGGACTTCCAGGATTTTCCAATTACGTCTAGAGAAATTGCACGTTGGATATGATGATTCTCTTACGGGACAGATTGAAATATAATCCGTGCTTGGAAAATATCGCCGACACTTCTTCATTTGCTCGCCAAATATTTCCACAAACTTGGAGAACTCGAACATATGAAACTTGTTACGTCAGTTTCTGGTGGACTTTTTCTTTTAACGTTTCTACACCCGTTTGAATTTCTACGGTTTTCGAGAGAAAGAATCCTCACTTCCGAGAAAATATCCTTCTTTCTCGCTCGTTATGTAAAATTATTATTTTTGAAAAAAAAAAGAACTCGCATCTATCAAAATAGAGGCTTTAATTTTTAAAAGAAGAAATCTTTTGTCAAGAAAGAATTACATCAGTTTAAATTATCGACAAGTTTTCATCGTCATTGGTACTATTGTGTTCTTCGCTGGTACGCAGTTTACTTGCTGAAATTCATTATTTTCAAAATCCAATTACACAATTAATCCATCCTCAAATTTGTTCAGAAATGAAATTCAAACGACCAAGAAAATTGCAGTAGTGTAGTGTGTAAGAGAATCTGTGTATGTTATTCTGTTACAACTGGATCCGTTCAGCAAGGTATTACAAGGATCTCGTTTCCATCGTGAACGAGCAGACAAATTTGCAGTAGGTTGTTGTAACTTGGTCGATGCTTCAATTGCGACAAAACGGGAGTGCTGAAACCACAGAGACACATCAAGTTCTCAACGACGGTCATAAAAGATGAAAGAATCTCTGCTGTCTTTGAATTTATTTGGTTTTATAATCTCAATTTCTGGTGCACTTGCTAGTGTATTCTGTAGGACTATTACAAACCAAGTTTTGTACTTGATAATTGGACGAGAGAATGGGATTGGTTTGATAGATTAAAACTAATCAGTGGGAGCAGGGTTTTATTGGTTTATTTTAGAAATTAATATCCAGACAGGTGTAATTCATTGTGTAGTCTTCCTCGTCGAGAAATAATTTCAAATTCTCAGATATCTATTGCTATTTGAATTCTCAACATTCATGATTTAATTTCATTTCTTGTTTCTTCAACATTGTTTGATGATTGCAGGTGTAGAGTGCGATACATTTTATTTTGCATGTAACGCAAAAGTTGTTTGAACGCAAGAGCTGTGTCAAATTGTAAAATATTTCATTTTGAGGGTCAATAGCTTTTAGTTTGGAATTGTTATTTGCGAAGATATTAAAATACTTCCTTTCTATCATCTGTCTCTGTAATTAATAATTTTGTGTTGAAACATGTCGCCTTTATGTTGAATAACATTAAAATTAAAGACTATTTCTAATGAGAATTCTAGGATTTCTTAAAGTTATTTCTAATCCATAAGAATCTAGTTTTCAGCATTTCTAAAAATTGGTATTTAATTCATTAAAATAGTTGATTTTTAGTATCTTGTAAAAATATTTTGGACCAGAAATTCGAAAGCTTTTAAAAATAATTTCTACTTTTGTTTTTTCAGGAGGATATAGTTTTTAGTAGCCTTAGCAACCTTAATAATCAGAGACTAATGCTGAAAATAAAAGCTGACCAGTGCCATAGTGGAAACATTTCATCGTCTGGTGAGTATCTTTTTTTAGTTTAGTACTTATTTCAGTTTTCAATCATAGTATCATCATTATAAGTCCTTTCTCTATTGTCACGAGTATCAATAATGGTTCCCATGAACCATTAAAATTCACAATCGTCAAAAATTTCAACAGATTATTAGGAACATTGGACGTTTCTAATAAATATACCTTTTACTTGTAGAATAAAGAATTATTACAGAATGATGATAGAGTTCTTCCAAAGAAAGATAAATTTCCATAACAAATGTTTCTTGACATTGATATAAAAATATTGTATAATTCACTTAATAATTTTCTCTGTTATTCTACTAAGACTCTAATACAATTGATAATTTATATCCATTATCACTACACTGTATACTGCAAAACGATAAGTTTAGTATAATATTGAAATTGTGCAGTTTGCAAACTAATTAGCAGTAGTTAATAAGTACAATAGCTTGAAAGTTAGAAATTTAAAGTGAACGATTCTTCAAATCTCAATGTTAATTAACCCAAGCCAAGCTCATCGTCGAGGGATTAGTACGCCTTAATTCGCATTATTTGGTTGAATTAGAACATTGGGATTTATAGAAGTGGGCAGTAACTACTTCGGGCAGATTAGCATGGGAAATCCTCTAGTTTATCTATCAATATCTGATAAATTCTATTGTTGGTGTTTAATGTTATATTCTGATATGTTAATTGGAGCTTCTAATTACCTTTTTCATTCAATTTTAGGCAAGTTCCATTAATATGATAGTCATTTTATATTGACCATTTTTCTAACTGTCTCTTTTTACTAACTTTTACTATTTTATTTATTATAAAATGTTACATCTTATTCGACGTATTTCATTCTCTGGATCCAACTATACTTTTTACTATAAAAATATCATTGAAAATTCTCTGAAACGCCACAATTGTAATCTCGCATGGTTGTTTTTCTAAGTATTTCCTTTTTGATATTTTCAGATGTCTTCAAATATTCACTGCGTTTAGTGCAATGAATACTTTACTCCTTTGTAACGTAATCCTGCCTTTAAATGTTCGGATATCAAAGATGTGAGACCAGGCGTGTCAGCATTACAAATATTATCCTATTTCGTGCTCGAGTAACAAACCATCGGTTTACTGATTAACCATATATCATGGACGTACATCTCTTCATCGACTTTGTGCGGAAGGATTTCACAGTCGTTCGCTGGACTTCCCACGATCCCGTTCGTAACGAGAAAACAAATGTGTCGGAAGTAGAAATCGAATCCAAAGTCCTTTCAATTCTCTTCCATTCTACAAAGCTACCGTGTTACGTGATATCGTATAGAGGTGTGTGTAATTCGATAGAAAGGCTGGCGGCAAAATTCTAAATGGCAAATGGCCACGATCCAGGAAATCTAAGGGAAAATTCCGTGAGAAGGACCGACGTGAAAATAAAAAATCTTTGGCAGTATCTCGAATCGTCCACTTATTTTCGTAGTGTTTGCTATTACCGCTTTGATGCTCACTTGGAGTTTCAGTTGGAAACAATTCTTCCTGGAAAGTTTTTCCGCGTTTTTCTTACCACGTTGCTTTGTCCCTCAATAGTTTCTTGTATCTTACAATCGTGTATTCCAGAGAGGAATTGAATATTTTAGTAGTTTTATTAGTTAGTAATATTATGTAGTTTACAATTATTACGGTTGTTACAATCTTTCTGATTGTCATTGAAGATATTATAGTTTGGTAATGATTATAATTATTTCATTGGTAATTGTTCACGCTTGTGTTTTGTAATCCATATACATATAACACAGAATACAACATATAATAAACATATTCATAAAATATAACATAGAATATAATATATATAATATAATAAACATATTCATAGAATATAACATATGTAACATAATAAACATATTCATAGAATATGATGATTCATAGAATATTCATATATCACGATTGTTGAGAAATACAATATAACATAGAATAAACATATATGAATATATATATGAATATGTTTATTTTATGTTATATTGTATTTCTCAACAATCATCAATCGCTGAAAATTACATAGTCATCAATTACTAATGGTGAAACTTGTATGACATCACAGTAACGTCAACAGCCTTTTATGGCATTAACGTGACTTTCGTACATAATTTGTTTCCAGTTTTTTTTTTATGTTCACGTGTGAGTGTGTGAGTATAATGGTTGAACAAGTTTGATACATGTCATTGATTTTTCCTTCATCGGTTACAGAAAAATGACAGCGAGTGGAGGAAATGTCTTATAATAGATTGCATGCAAACCTGCATGCAGATACTTAAATGTGATTTCCCTCTGTGTACATTCAAATCATAATGGATTCCTATTCTTGTAACTGAAACTCGTGTTTGATTCGCAGATAGCTTCCACTTTTAATCAAGCAATTGCGACGATTTTGTTCATAAAGAAGAGAAACAAGAAAGGGACTGAAATCAAAATGAAATAATTGCTGTATTGCAGATACAGAGTGCAGTCATAGAGAAATGAAACTACTTTGTAAAAAATTTCTGTATATGGATTACAAATAACAATTACTGTGTTACAAAGGGAGGAACGAAACATTTTAAAAATTTGAAATTGCTACGGATATTACAAAGTGATAGTTAAAAAAGTATTTTAATAATCGTTAAAAGTGGAATAATTAAACGTCGATAATAAATATTTCTTGTTTGGAGATAGTAAATGAGACGAAGTTGGGGAAGTTTATTCAAAAATATTCGTTTCATTTTGTGGGATAAATTGTGGTTTCTCTAAACTCCTCCTTCAGTACTAGTTTTATGGTGTTGTAAACTACTGATTAAACTAGAAGAAAATAGATGGTTAATTAATTAACTGGTATGTTTTCATCCTTGCGTGATGCAAACTTCGTTGATAGGAAAATGTGATTAGATAATGGATTGGAAGAAAAGAAAATGAATAGTTCGATTAAATTACGAGGCAGGACGTTTGACAGAGAAGCATACATACACTGACAGCAATCGTTTAATGAAAAATCGATTCGCCATGAAGCAGTAAGATTAACGCCTACCACGGGTTGATTTCCATTTCAATTGTTATTTGTACGTTTTGAGGAAAAAAGAGGTACCAAGTTGTTCATGTGAAATTTCTTGACACTTTTTGAAACAATTTCAGTGGAATTCTTCTTATATGTTTCATATATGTAATGTGTAGTATAACAACAATTGCAAACTGGAAATGTCAATTGCAAATTACAATTTTAATCATAAACTACCTAATACAAATTTCTAATTATCAATTATTAGTTTTAACTGTAATTGAATTTGGAAAATATAATGGACTCAAAAATATCTAAAAAAATAAAAAATAAATAAAATTTCAAAGTAAAAAATTGTACTGCTGCAACACTATGCGTTTTGAATACTTTATATATAATTATTTTATTATATTTAATATGATATAACATATATGATATTAACAATACATATTATTATTCATACAATGTAATATTATTGAATATTACAATATTTACATTATTGTAAATTACATGTTTTCATGTCATAGATAGTTTGTGAAATATTGCACTTCAGAATTTCTTGAATTTTTCTGTAGTCATAGAATTTTATGTATCGAAATTTCAAATTGTTTCCTCTAGTTCTTCTTTTGTTCTTTGTTTTTTCTCTCACTCTTCGCTGTTCTTTTTTCTTTTTCTGCAAAAACTTTAAAACCGATAAACCATTATGGAGGAGGTGATGCAGAAGGCTGTGAAGAATTTCGCTTCGGTGATTTGGCTGATCGTGCACCGGAAGTGGGCCACGCGTGCCTCAGGAAACAGATGAGCTGTCGACGTAATCTTTTTTTTTTTTTTTTTCCTTTTACGCGACGGAGGAAGTCAAAGTGACAAATTTGTCTTTCACTTTAACTATCAGAAATAAACGTTTTTTTTTTATCATTTTGTGTCACTCCGTTTCGTTGCGCCTAGATTTGCATTTTTTCCATTTTCAGGGAAAGAAAAAAATTGAAAAACGAAAACGTTTCTTCATTCTTTTTCCAGGTACCGTTTCTTTTGTTGCTTTTGGATATCACTCTAAAAAAAAAATATTTATTGAGAGAATCTCGATAAAAAATTGATTTCACTGTATAGATGAGAATACAGGATTCAGTTCCGATTTCTAATAATTTTATTTCGAACGAGTAATAATGTTTCACTCTCTTTTGAACTGAGAGAAGAATGTTCGTTCTTCTAGTTGGAACTAGAAATTTTATTTCATGGTTGAGAGAAGCGGAAAATTTATATCCATGTCACATGTTCTTATTTTATATTTGTATGTTCTTATTTATAGTTGTAGTACATAAATATACTAGGCAAACGTATATCAGAAAAGATTTTTATGAAAAAATTGTTGTTTCGATCCCGACAATGCTCGTTTCGAACGGATGGTATTTTATTTTGTTTTATGAGGGAACAAACTGAAAAATTAAAAAATTATCAATTGTATTGTAATTATAATAATGTTAAATTATTAAATCATATTATAATATTAAATCATATAAATTATTAAATCATATTATAATATTAATATTAAATTATTAGATAATTAATTAATTACATTTTCGAAAAAGAAAATCAGAAAATCATAATTATTAATTTAATTTCCAATAATTGTATTATTTTGTTACGCGTTTCAATAGAGAAATAAGTTCGAAAGTATTAACAGAAATTCTGATAGTAGACAATTCTAATTGTAATCTATCATATTAGATTGCGTTATAAATTTCATGACAAATAAAATGAAAAATACGAAGCAGTTTGATACCATTTACATGTAGATTATAAGTTTTATTATTAAGTTTCATATTTGTCAAAAATGAGAAATTGACAAACTTTTGAAAAGGCTGATAAAAAAATTCCTGAATCAAACTCATTTTTATGGATATTATTAAATGGAACAATCCAATTTGTTGTACGAATATTTTTATAACATATATTTGTGACATTGTTTGTCTGACACACAGAGAAATAATAAAAATGACTTTTATTAATCGCAGGGTGGTGCCCGGAAGTTTGGGATGAGATATTATGCTGGCCATCAACGGCACCTGGGGAGCTGGCTATTTTACCTTGTCCATCTTACGTAATTGGGTTTGATGTCGAGGTAATTATTATAATTGGAATAGCTATTTCTACTTTAATAAAGGTCTCCCTAGATGTGTCAATAATATACTATTAAAACTTAAACTTTTCTTTTGTTGCATTTCCACTGTTGGATTATTATGGATTGGTAGAGCAGTTTAATATTAAATTTCATGTTATTTTTATTGAATGAAATGCATAAAATCGAGAGCAGAACTAAATTTAAGATTTAAGAGCGGATTTATCCAGATAGTATTTTCCTTGCTGGAAATTCTGTTTCATTGTTAATCTTCTCAAATGAATGCATTTATATTTTTAGGGGAACGCGTCGAAACAATGTATGTCAGGGGGCCAGTGGTTTTGGAATAACACCACCACTAGTACCTGGAGCAACTACACTCAGTGTTATAGGAATCCATTGGTGACACTTTTAATGGAACTGCCTAGTGGAGAAAAGAACAATGACACTCTCATTAAAGTAAATGCTTGTGAAGACAACAGAATTTATCAGGGACATTAATGGGAAAACCTTCTGGAATGAGAGAATGAAAATGGCATATTTAATCTAATGGACTTCATTAGAGAAATGTACTAAAAGAGAAGAAAACTAATTTAGATCAATCTCTTTTTTTATTAACTTGAAACTTTCAAGAAATATCCTCTCTGATCTTCGCGTGTTAAAATTTCACTTTTCATAAGAAAGGAAATTCATCTCATTACTAATTGTTTTTGTAGAATCATTACTAATTCTTTCATGTAGAATCATTTCCTTCTCGCTTGTATTCTGGGACACCCTGCATAGAGAAAGTAATTGAAATAACAAAAACTCGTTCCGACAAATTGGAAATCAATGTGAATTACGCTAATGGAAAAATTCTTTAAGGCAGCAACAGACGACTAGAGACTTTTTATTATGTTTTTATTGCCTTACTGAATTATTTAACACGACGTGAAGCTCCATCGCATGTGATTAATAAAGTATTAGAATTCTTTATAAATCGTAGGAACAAATTCTGTCATCATGATTAATTCCCTTTCACAGAAAAATTATGTAAAGCATAAATTATATCGGTACCATTTGATTGAAATCTGCGGCTTATCAAATAATTAAATATTTCACATTGATTTCCCCTGTGTTTCATAATGTCTCCAATTACTTCACGTGAAAGCTGATGTGTTCTAACTAGCTGTGATTTATGTTACAGAAATTTATCCCAATAGTGAAAACCATGTCGAAAGTTGGATACACCATTTCTTTTTTCACTCTGGTGGTTGCTTTCTTCATTTTGGCTATGATCAAGTAAGTATTTGCCCAGAAATATGACAATTTACTCTCATTCTTTCATTTCTCTTTAAGTTAGAGTAGGTTTAATACTTCTATTTTTCTAACTCTCTCGAGTTGTCCCATGAGTTTGTGTTAATATTTGTTATTAGTTCGGTGTTGAGTTCTTTCTGAATTTTTTATTTTAATACTAAATGTTATTAATAAATAACAAATTACTCCAAAATTTTAGCATAAATTACTTACTATTTATGCTAATTAAATTAATTTTATTGGGAGTAAAATAAAATGCCAAATTACTCACAAATAGAGAAGAAAATTTAGGTAGAGAGAAACCATACTTTTTTGATGAACTTTCTCATTTCCCAATTCAATATCCCCCCCCCCCCC